CATCCAATGTTGTAACTTCTAAGCTTCAATGTATTTCCAGAAGAAGGAATCCCATAGTACAGGGTATCAGTTATTGTTAAGGGTCAGATTTTTGTTCATTTTCTTCCTCATTGAAAACAAGCAATGTGGGTAAATACCCCATATCCCAGGCAAAAACAGCGAGTGCAAAGACATCCTACCGATTGATAAATCATGTCCAATCTCCAACACCACTGCTAGTTTGTGACAAATGGACAAGGCAACAAATTTAATGTGTCAAGCTCCAGCTCCAAGTGTAAGGAAGACCATTATTTTCTTGGCAGGGAACACTCAGCAGGTCAGGAAGCATCTATCGAGAGGAAAGTGTGTTAATATTTCAGGTCGATGACCTTTCATCAGAACTAATTTCAAGTCGATGACCTGAAACATTAATTCATTTCCCTCTCTGTATAGATGCTGCTTGACCTGCTGAGTGTTCCCACAGCAACTTGTTTTCATTTCCATTCTTTTGTTATCCTGAATATTGTTGGATACCAATGAGTAAATAAGGACCAATTAACGAGGACCAATGGAAGAAGATCAGGAGAGAAAGAAAGCGGGAAGAACTGAGTAGAGGGTGTTTGGTGTGAGTGTTGGATTTTGTAACTGGAGATCTAAAATAGTGTTCTACACTTTGTTTGTTGAGAACATAACAAATATCTATTCATTTTGTACTTCTTGAAGTCTACCACAGCAGACTCTTACCATCAATCTCAGACCTACTTCTCACTCAAGTGCATATTTTGCTATCTTTTGTAGTTTTCCTATGTAAGACACGCCTAATAATAATCCCTTCAAAACAAAAAACAATAATAAATTGGTCATTTTCAATCTACGACTGTTTGTGGGACACTGCTGTGCGCAATTGGCTGCCGCGTTCGTCCACAAATATACAGTCAATTCACTTTACAGTATATTCTGTGAAGCGCTTTGGGACGTCTACCAGACGTGAAAAGCGCTATATCAAATGCAAGGATTATTATTATTATTACTAATTTATTTAAATCCAGTCAGGAATTGATTTAATTATTAGAAACTATCCATATCTCTATTGCGTGTTCAATCATTTTTTCTTGTCTCTTCCTTCTCCTAAAAAATAATTGAATAATAGAGCAATGGAGATGAAAGAAAAAATACTTGAGCAACCAATGGAGATATGGATGGCTTCTAACAATTAAATCGATTCCTATCTGGATTCAAATAAATATTGATAAGGGGATACAGATTTGTGGATCTCAGAAACCTTCCAGCAAGTACCTCATCCATCAGCAGTGAATGCCAACAAGGCATTTGAGTGGGAGGCATCACAGCAAGATCAATCCTGTCCTCACCCAAATTCCACAGGCATATGTTCACTAGCACTCATTGAACAGTGATTAGGAGGGTGATCTGTGGCCAGTTATCCCCTCTCAATCTGAGGACACTGAGTTTAACTAAACAGTGAATGATGCTTGCCACATCAATGTTGAGGGAGATCTAAAGGATGGGAAATGCGATTATTTCTAAATGGAGGAAAATAAAGAAATGATTTAAAGTGAACATTAAGTATTAATTTAAATAGCAATTTATGGCTGGAGGATTATCAAGGTACAACAGAGACATAAGAATGAAAGAATTTATTGGGCAAATGAAGACCAAGGTCCATCTAGGTCACCTTCCACCATCCTGGTAGTTGCTTGACATGTTGTGTCCCAAACTATATCCTGAGACAATTATGTGATGGGGGAGATTCTGAGTATGAAAGACTTAATGCTTCCAGCGAGTAAACATTTTTTCCATGTCAAGTGTTGCTTCAAACAGCAGGTAAATAAGAAAGATTGTCATTTCACAGCTCATCAAGCACAGCCTGTCCAGTGCTCCTTCAGCATGTGAGGCACAGAGGAAAAAACAACTCAGTTAAAAACAGAAGGTTGGAATAATTCTAGGAAATGCAATATTTTCAAAGTTCCATTCCTTATCAAAGAGAAGATAGTCAAAATGTAAATATTCTTTCACAACACAGCAAAGGTCTTTTAAATTCACAAATAACGAGTAGGTAAACCAATACAACACCTAAATGTGAACTCATCTTTCATTAAATTTCAAAGGAAATAAGTCAGGATCAACCAGAACTGTACAAATGGTCACTGGGGAGCAAGATTTATGATCAAAATAGTTCTCTGCACATTAGTGTTTCCAGCATCAAAGAATGAGGTTCCTGACTGGTTAGGGGTGTCAGGCACTCAGACGATTTATGACACTAATCGGATTTTACATCTGGCTTTCTATTCTGTGTGGAAATTTACTGTAAAAGAGTTATGGTACTTGAGATATATGGTACTTGGAACATGCTGCCTTCCCCTTCAATCCATCCCACATCACTATACAACACTAAGTGTATCTATGTATTACTACATCTTTCTCTTTATAGGTAAATTATATGTTTCTCACTCTGGATATCAGTGATCTGTTCCAGAAAAAAAATCAAGTGTGAACATCTATAAAATATACAGTCAATTCACTTTACAATAACTGGAAACATTATATCGCCACGGGCTGCTGCGATTCGCCCACAAAATAGTCAATTCATTTTACAGTATATTCTGTGAAGCGCTTTGAGATGGCCCGTAGATGTGATATGGCGCTATATCAAATACCAGGATTATTATTGTAATAAATGCTTTAATTTGTTACAATCAGAATTACCTGGCTTTTTTATTTGATGATTTTTTTGCCCTGGGAATCAAAAAATTACTCCCATGTAAATGATTCCAAAAGTAGATCATTTAAAATACAAGAAATATGATCTTTGCTTCCTGCAGAATATCAAAGATTCTGCAATGCAAAAAATGAGCGTGGATAAAAAGAGAAAACAACACCGTGCAATCAGTACTTAGCAACACAGATCACATTGGAATTCACTGTGAATAGCAAAATGTAAGTGGAGTCTGAACACACTAATGGTTCTGGACGTAAGGTACAATTGTGGAACAAATGGATATAGAAGCTCTCCTTAAAAACACCACTCATTGGAATTCACCACATCTCTCAAGTGTGTTCGGCTATTTTCATCAGAGCGGACCAATATGTTAATTTCAAGGCCCATTAGATGACTCTTTGATAAAGCGAAGGCTAGTGTTATCAGAGAATGGAGAGCTGCAAAAGTCATCTATTTACTGCACAAGCAGGTGAACAAGTAACTTTTTTTTTAACAAAAAAAACAAGTAACTCCAATAACTTTTTTTTAAACTGTCTTCTATTTATACGGTAATTTTTTATCCAGGGCTGTAATGTACAATTTTGATTTTACATTAAATGAATAAAACACCAGTTGCCCCACGGGGGGGCGGCAGCATCTGTTGGCACATTAAAGTGTGTCTTCAAAAAGCTTCTGGAGTAACAGGACGGATAAAAATTAGCTGTGATGCCATGTGACTGAATAGCCTGAAACTCATGGTCAAGACTTACATAAGAATAATTGTCACTAAGACAATGTACTGAAGACATCCAATTAACGAGTCTGTAGCCAAGAAACGGGATTAAAAAAGTCAAAATTTGCTTGAAAAACAGATGGGAGAAAAACAAAATCGCTATTATGACAATAATCATTACATTTAATACAGCGCCTTCCATATTGGGAGCATCTCGAAGCATTGCACAGGTATCTAACAATTGTGTCCCTGATGGCTGTACAGAATATCCCAGGAGGGGAGGTAGCATGTGCAGGTTTTAACTTGTATCCAGTTACTGTACTAACGTTTATGAATAAAGAAACCAAGTTGTGTTATGCAGAGCACCAACGTTGAAAGTGTAGGCGTATGCTATAAATCAAAAAGTTGCAAGAATGTAAATTGGAGTTTACATTTCTAGAATCTACTGGTCTAGAATCTATAAGCGTGCAGTGAAGGTATAGATGATAGAAGCAAAACAGCAGCAGCAAAGAAAATAAATTCTGTACATTGGATGGAAGCATGAACAAGCACTGCGGGCTGTTAGCGAGCTTGAAAACGCGGGTGAATTCGTTTGTTAAGTCAGCATATTAATAAAACATCACAAGTGAAGTTCCAACAAGATATTTCAACCTTCAGTTTTTTATTTCTTTGATTGCTCTTTGAAATGGAGCATTATGGCTGGGAGTAAAGCAGCAATGTTACTCATTACCATTCCATAATACTTACAGGAATATGACTTCCCTGGATCAAACGAACATTCACAACAGCTCAAAAGGAACATTGCTGAAGGAGGTACTTCATATTCTCTTTGTAGGAAAGATCGCTCAGTACATCACCTCTCTTTCATGGGAGATGTATATTGACACAGAAACCAGCTCACGGAGCAAACAATTGGCATCCTTGCACTCCTGGGTGTCAATCACAGCAGCTCTTTTTTCACTCCTGAGAGTGACGCTCCCCTCCTAAGGTTACCCATCATTACAAATTGGGAGTCATATTGGGAGTCATTTTTTTTTTGATCTCGTGAATTGTGGTATCCAGCAGCTTTTACCTCCAGATGTATGTATGTCAGACAATAAGGCATAAATAAAAAAATATATTTGTGCATCTTTTGAGCCAGTAACAGAATACAAGGGGTCAGGCAATATTGATAGCATTCTTATTAATCAGACTCGCATGGTTTAGAAAGTTATCTGAACACCAATATATTTGATTGCCTGGTAGTATAGTCCTTGCTATCAGATTTGTGAGATAATAATAATATTATATAATCCTTGTTAGATTTGTGAGATATCTACTGAAGGAATATGCTTAGAGAAACTTCACACCCGAGTCTCAGAACTTCAGGTCATCCATGATTACAGGCATTTTAAAAGAAAAAAAAATATATACATACATATTAACACACAAACACATACAGCCCCAATATCCTAAATATTTAAAATTCTCTTAAGGAATCCTTTTTGTCAACATAGCTTTCTTTTTCAGATCCCTTTTCAGAACATTTCACCCAATTCCCATAGCAATGTATTCCAGTGCATCGAACTGTTCAGTTAAGTTCCCTCTTCCTCATAAGCGATGGCGATTCCCTTTCTTCCTTCTACTGCTTTTGTCACCGGAGACTCTCCGAGTTTCTGTTCCAGCCCCTGCCAACTCCTGGATGCTAAGAAGGAGGCTGTAAAAAAAAACATTGTTATGCTAATGCTGCACCAGCACCAACGAACCTGCTTTACCTAGTATTTGCTTTTGCGCAGGAAAAGAAGGAAGCTGTCATGTTGTAAATTACGTACATGAATCTCCCTGGGGTTAGCCTGGAAGCAAACCACCTGCCCATCACCTTGTTTGGGTTTTGGTATGAAGTGAGGGGGAATATTGATGCAGATAAAATAGAAAATAACTCTTTCCTTTCCCCTCTGGCACATAGCCTGAATAGGAGCCTTACCTGCTGAGTGTGACTGAGTAACCGCTAAGGAATTATTCCTCTGGATTAAGGATGTGCTGGAAGAATTGTTCTGCCACTCTGACTTCAACAGGTGTGTGGCTCGCAGGTTCCCGGTTATCAGTGAGACATCTGTCTCCTCACCATTAACAATCTCATCAGGAAATTCAACGTGGCAGCAGGCACCTGTGAACACAACATGCGATAGTCAACTGGGAACTTGCAAGGCATCAGTTCTTGGCTAGATGTACCAGGAATTCGGCAATGTTAAACCGACCCAGTCCATATAAACAAGTCATAAAATACATTGAGATTTTATTCATTTCTGCACAACTCATAAATTTTCACAGAACCAGAATCAGATTTAAATTTCTATTTGTTTTGCAAACTTATTATGGACTTATTTTAAATTCACTAGAGAAATAAAGTGGCCACAAATTACTAACCAATTCACAGTATATCTCACTTAAGTGGGCATTTTTCATGTCTTGTAATGTTCAGTTCTAGCCAGCTGAGCATCTTCCAGCAGAAATCACTGGATAATTATTAACCTTGCCTGATTTTTCCCTCCCTAGAGACATTGAGCACTGCCCCACCACAGCCTTGACGAAGATCACCCATTCAGCACAGACCGACATTCAGAATGCAACCTTCCAATCTATAAGGTCCAATGCTTTGCTTATAGCTTTATATAAAACAACTGTAAAGTATGTGCACCTGGGAGCAGGTCCCTGAAGTCAGTGATGTACTCGCCAGTCCATTCTCTTGCTTGGTTACAAGCAACCTCCATCTCATAAGGTGTTACCACTGGCCTGTAAAACTCACTGGAATCCAGTAGCGAGTTTTCTGGACAGGCAACAACTACATAGATATCCACCTCCAAGAAATTGGCCAGCTTGGCAGCATTCAGTTTACCCATCACAAAGGTATAACTTTTCTTGCCAGCCTGTTTTATTATCTGTTTAAGATGGTCAATAACAGAGAGGTAATCTGCAACACCGAGAGTGCCCACTAAAATGCCCACAACCTGGGCATCCTTGGCTCTTTCAATCATGTAATATCGTTTCATCAAAGCCCTGTTGACATTCAAGGTTTCTTTTCTGCCGACACCTTTCACTGGATCGAATGAGCAGAAGGAACATTGATTCCAAGTCATCATGAAATTTGTGAGAGTTAGACTCTCCTGTCCGACGTAGAACATGCTGTAGTCTTTCAGATCACAGTTTCCAGCAATGCTAAAATGGCGGCCAAATTTATGAATAACTTGATTACTAGGCTGGTTGTAGATTTCTATTGCAGAATGAGGATCCACTTCATTATCAGGGTTAACACCATCAGTTCTCAAAGAATCTGCCACTGCTTCCCGTTCACTGCAAATTGTTGAAATAACAAGGTTTTCATATTCTGGTTGGAGAAGATGGTGCAGTTCATCTAGGAAGAAATCAAAAAGTGACTTAAGGTTTCAAATAAGTAGGTAAAAGAAAGTAAGGCAAATGACAGCATATATTCATCTGAATCTGACAAACATATTGAAAAATTATATTGTTGGGAAGAAGTCATTGAGGTCAATGCTCCCATCCACCTATGGGTCAGTGTATCGAACCATTTCATGATCCAATTTAACTGATGTATTCCCACTACTAACGGTGTTCTCTATTAATAAACTATCACCAACTAACACATGGTCACAAAGGAAAAGGAAATGAAACTCATCCAAACGTACTTAAGACACCCGATTCTGTTGTTCCAGTCTGACTCGCTCCCTGCCATCTCTGTAAAATCCGATTATTACTGTGGTGAAGAAATCGTTCGCAAGACACTACTTCCAAATGCACCTGATCTAGAAACCAAAGGCTGTACAGCAGATTTTGGGGGGTGGGGGTTAATAAGCCTATTCACCATGACTTTTACGGTTTCATGTCTAGTCTATTGACACAAAAACAATCACTCTGTATATAAATTCCCGGATTTCAAACCCAAACAGGAACCTAGCAAAGAAAAATGCATAAGACAGACAGCAAGAGGGACGGACGTACACTAGACAACCAAGGCAAATGAAAGAAATGATTTCCAATTTCTTACCCAGGATATAGGAATATGGAACATCAGATTGAATGACGACGTGGCTGCTCTTGTCTGGATATAGTTCGCGGAAAGAGTCAACGCACTCCTCCACATTCACTGGCTTTCTACCAAACACATACAACACCGGCAATCTTCTGGAAGGGCTAAGACATGCTCTTCCGTAATGGACGATACCATCAGCCTCAAGGTGCTCAGCAGCAACTTCATCTACACAGCAGCTGTCAACAGACAAGAAGTTAATAGGCAATCCCGGAGCATATCTGACAACATGAAGTGAGGTTTGTACCCATTGCGCAAGAAATGTGAGGGCTCATTTTATTAGCTTCTTGGAGCTCATACAACATTATGCTGCCATCTACTGTTCATCTCTTGTGTAAGAGATGAACAAATCACAGATAGTAAGTGTAATTGCAGTATCTCAATGCCTTGGGATGTCCTCCCGACGTGAAAGGGCTATACAAATTTAGCTCTGTACTGTACCCCCACTAAAACTAACTATTCATGATTTATGAACAAAACATACAAAGTTTGAACTCTCTGTTTAATTAAACTCCCACCTGCCATAGGATGTGTCACCTAAGATGAAAAACTTGGAACCTGAGCTTTTCTCCAGCTTTGATAGAATCACAGCAGAGTCCACTAGAAGTTCATCAGAGAACTGGAGAGCCACCTGTCAGAATCAGGAAGGAATCTTTTCAGTATTGAATTTGTTATTAATGGGGACATTAGCCAGAGTAAAGTTACAGTGACCAGAAACCACTTGGTGCTGAATATATCACAAGTATTTAACTTTGTATCGGCTGGAAGAAAAACTAGCACATCCAGTTATAGGCAATATCAGTGCAGTCTGTTGTAAACCACAATTGATTTTGTCTATTGCTAAACAACATCTTCAGAGAAAGGCGTTCTCTCAGTTAAGTAATACATTAACATGGGATGGTGAAGCAAAGGGGTGGCGAAGAGAGAGAAAATAAGGGAAATAAAAAGGTTAAAGGTTTGAAGAAAGTTGTGCACAGCTGCTTGACAGGAATAATCTAATCTGATAACCCATTGTGATCAGACTAACCTTTTTAAAACCATGTTCTGTGATGAAGCTTCTGGTTCTCTCTATCTCGTACACCACATCAATCTCACTAGGGCAGGTTCTGTTGACAATTTCCAAGATGTCCACGGACCGCTGGATTGCCTGAGAGCCATCGTCGCTGAATCCAGTGGTCATGGTAACTAAACCACAAAGAAAAACTAGAGTTTAAAAATAAACATTGATACAAAGAAGTCCTCAAAAAGTTCTTACTCTAATTAATGTTCACAGCAAGTCACATGCTTTATAAATAACACTACTACAGACCAACAGCAACTAATGGTACTTTTGTCAGGTACTCAAGATTGGCTTTCAGCACCATTAATGTCTTTCCCCTGCTAATGCCCTGCCTACTGAACAGAAAGGACAAGACATGACAAAGCTATCACTCTATCCAATTTATATATATGATCACTAAAAATAGGCTGTCAAAATAGGATAAATTGAGGGGATCTGCTTCCCAGGGAAGGTAGAAGGAAGGGAATGATGATCAAAAACAAAAGGTCAAATCTTGGACTCAAAAGGAGCAATGTGGAGCAATAAACACCGGTGTGGCCTGTTTCCACACTGTAGTGAACAGTACAATTGCAGGGAGTCCTTATACCAATAAGTCACATTTACAGCAGCTGCTGTAATAAGTCACTGTATTAAACTAACAGTCTCCTCTCTAAGTGCCCCTCATCTCTGCCCACTCCCCCCATCTCTGCCCACCCCCCATCTCTGCCCACTCTCCCCATCTCTGCTCACTCCCCCCATCTCTGCTCACTCCCCCCATCTCTGCCCACTCCCCCCATCTCTGCTCACTCCCCCCATCTCTGCCCACTCCCCCATCTCTGCTCACCCCCCATCTCTGCCCACTCCCCCCATCTCTGCCCACCCCCCATCTCTGCCCACTCCCCCCATCTCTGCTCACTCCCCCATCTCTGCTCACTCCCCCCATCTCTGCTCACTCCCCCCATCTCTGCTCACTCCCCCATCTCTGCTCACCCCCCATCTCTGCCCACTCCCCCCATCTCTGCCCACTCCCCCCATCTCTGCCCACTCCCCCCATCTCTGCCCACTCCCCCCATCTCTGCCCACCCCCCATCTCTGCCCACTCCCCCCATCTCTGCTCACTCCCCCATCTCTGCTCACTCCCCCATCTCTGCCCACTCCCCCCATCTCTGCTCACCCATCTCTGCTCACCCATCTCTACCCACCCATCTCTACCCACCCATCTCTGCCCACCCCCCATCTCTGCCCACCCCCCATCTCTGCCCACTCCTCATCTCTGCCCACTCCCCCCATCTCTGCCCACCCCCCATCTCTGCCCACTCCCCATCTCTGCCCACTCCCCCCCTCTCCTAACTCCTTACCCCCGGCTCCAGGCCCATCAACTCCACTCACTCACTCGAATCTCCACCAGGGCAGCGTGGGAGCACGTGACCGCCGGCGTCCCCTGAACAGCGTCCAATCAGCGCTCGGTGTGGGCTTCCCTCGGCCAATCATAACGCGCAGCCGCGTTGCCCTCTTAACCAATAGAAGCGCGGGATTTCACCACTGACCAATCACAAGAGGCGCCAGACTGACCAATCAGAGCCTGCGGGCACCAGCTCAGGGCCTAACGGCCCACAACAAGCTTCCCTCCTGCACCTGAATAACACTGGGAACAGCTCGTCAGATCATAACCAGCGCTGTCACTCATTCGATCAGTACAACTGTTTTACATAGCTTTTGGTTTCTAAACCGCTTTCGTAGTTACTAAAAATCCGTCTGTAGTAGTTTGAAGCCCGAGGGAGGAGGAGGAGGAGGAGCGCGTTTTGCTGCATTATGGCCGCCCAACGGACTACAAGTCCCAGAAGGCTGAGCGGCGACTCCTCGGTGCGCGCAGGCGCGGTGATGGCGTTCAGCGCGCGGCGTCGTACAAAGGGCCGGCGACGTGCCGGGCCGGTGACGTCACGGGCCGCTCGCCTGGCCAGTCTGACTGGGGGGGGTGGGGGGAGGGGGAGGGCAGGTCAGCCTCAGGCTCTGTCTGACCCCCAAAGTGCAGCTGAACTCTGCCTCTAAAATAAACCAGTGCGCGCCAACCCAGGATGATATGATCCTACCAAGTAGTAAGTATTTGGGATTTCATAAAACAAACAACGTTAACAATAAATGATGATAATAATAATAAGAAGAAGAAGAGCGATGATCGCGGCATTTGACACGGCGCCTCATCGCGTCTTTCAGGCGTCTCGAAGCGCCTCTCCCGGGGACAGGGCTGCAATGCCAATCGACCGCGTACTTCGTGGGCGAAACGCGGCGGCCGGCGGCGCACGGCGGCGGCGGCGCACGGCGTCCCCCCCCCCCCCCTCGCGGGCCGTCGGGGTTCGAAAGTGACCCATTTTATTATCGTTCTTTTCCCCGAGGGGTTATCATCAGGAAACTCGCCCGAGGTTTCGCCCTGACCGGCCGGGGAGCGAACCCGGGTCTCTCGCTTGCGAGGCCAGTGCTCTAAACCGCTGAGCTGCAGGACTCCACACGGGGGGGCGGGGGGGGGGTTCATTGCGTCGGCCACCTGCAGGTCAAGCTTCGGCCGGGGCTGTGAATGAACAGCGTTGCTTTGTCGTTGGTGGATGATTATTCGCAGTTTCAATTGGCGCAGGAAAGCCTTGTAACTTTAGCTCCGATGGGAACTGAACATAGAGCTCAACAGACACTGGTAGAAGAGTGGGCGATGCTGTCGCGATATCATCGCTGCAGAATAAAGTAAAGCTCGGACCAGCTTTGTGATGTCATTTTTCTTGTTCAGTTATCATTGTTGTGGTGGTCGGATCTTTTCTCTCAAATGCATAAAATTATGAATGCTTGATGAGTAATAGAGTTATTGTGCACTCTGGCGTGAGTTGTAATTACACTACGTTAACTTTTTGGTCTGTAGTTAGTGAGCTTCTAATTTATTGACTTTATCCAAAGCCCCATTAAACTTTTGATCTCATGGTTTATGAGAACAAAATGAGCTACTTGTGGAGTCCTGTAGCTCGCCTCGCGAGTGAGAGACCTGGGTTTGATTCCCGGGCAGGGCGAAACGTTGGGCATGTTTCCTTACTCCACACGCCTCTGTTTACACAGCAGTAAGTGGGAACCTGATTGTTAGTCATTTGGCCGATTGCTTTTCCGGGAGTAATAATTTCTTCAAAAAAAAATTGGTCACTGAATCCACGACTGTTTGTGGAACACTGCTGTGCACAATTGGCTGCCGAGTTTCACCCACAAAATATACCGTCAATTCGCTTTACAGTATATTCTTGGAAGCGCTTTGAGACGTCCCAAAGACGTAATGAAGTGCTATATCAAATGCAAGGATTATTATTATTACATCACATAATCCTAAAAGTAAACTGATGCTTTGATGCTCATTTCCCACTATCTGTAAATCTATATGTGATTATTTCTGCTTTGTTCATCTTTAAACTTGTGAAGAAAGTCTTCCATAATGTGTTAATGCACTAATTCGGATCTTTTAAAAGACCATACAGTACTCAGTAATGAATAGTGAGTTTAAAATGGTAATCTGAACTACAAAACTCTTATAAAATCACAGTGTCTCAAAGAATATGGAAAAAGAAGAAAACCATATTTCATGATACAAATGCATGTATTTATTTTATTTCCAGATTGGCTTTGCCCCTTTTTCATTGCCTTTGTGGCGTCTATGATATTAGCCATTGTCATCTGTTCTCTGCTTCATCTGAGGAAGAGCAAAAAACGTGAATATGAAGTAATGGAATGGGTGAATGCAATGGATAATGGAGTAAACTTGTACCATCCATTGCTACATTGGATTAACAACAACAATGATTTCTCGATCAAATCCAAAGTGTGTTTTGCAGTAGATGGAGAATGGAGGAAAAGAAAGATTTAAAAAGGCAGCAACATGGTACCAGTAAGATTTAAGAGGATACTGGAAAACAATGTTCATTTGATCATGAAGCAGGCATCTGTAGCAGTTTTTTTCAGAACCATCATTGGTTGATGTCCCTACAGACATAAATCCTACCTGCCTCATCAGAATCACAGCAAGAATGCCAGGTGCCATTCATCTTTCAAGAGTAAGAAACTCCAGAGCAAATTTCACCAGCTGCTATTTACTGGGTGAAATGTGGACTGCTACTTCCCAATAAGTGGAGGAGGTTGGCACAGGACAATTTCCATGGTTGCTACAGTTGTGAATGTTCCATGTTTTTCAAATAGTTTGGGAAAAATTCAAATATTTCTAAACTGTAGTAGACCAATCCAAAGATCACGGATGTGAAGGCCCAACTACCAAAAGGATACAGCACAAAAGACATGGTGTTGTCTCAATTAGGACTTATGTATTCTCTGTTTAGACGGTCTCCCTGTGAAAGTAATTTCCAACTGTTTTGGATTCTGGAGGTGGAATGCATGTGGCAGTATTCACCAGTCTCCAAATGTATTTTTAATGTTCCAACTTTACCATATTCCATAAAATCTATGGTATTAAAGAAACGTCTGTACTATTCCAAATAAGACTGACATGAATAATTCTATTTTTTTTCAAAATTCACAAATCTATTTTCATTCCTACAGTTTAATTATCCAGCATTTTTCTTCACTTCTTCTACCCGTTTAAGCTCCTGTCTCAAAAACAGTTCACAGGTTCATTTAAATACGAAAGCTCAGCTTTCATTCTTCCCAATCTAGAGATGAAATTGCTTCAATTTATGGCAAAAGTAACATCATTTCTTCAAAGCCTCAGAATAAAGCAAAGCGATGCCAATTACACAGCAAGGCATCCCCTCCACATTGTACAGAAATCACATTCTGTTTCTCTCTCTCTCCCACTCCTTATTGGGCAAGGCATTCAGTCCACCCCTGTCCACTCCCCCATTATACAGAAATGACATTGTTTGTTCCTCTCCCCTTCCTCCCTATATTGGGCAAGGGGACCTCAGCTTCCTATTGTGTGGCCTACAGTGACCTTATATTGCAAGTTTCACACAAACTGGGACTGTCTTTTCTTGCTTGACCAATGAAATACCTGGCTGGGGATATATTTTCATTAAATGGAAACTCAACTGAACTTTTGTTTTTTTGTTTTTGCCATTCAATTGATATTAAAGTGTCCTGTGTGATATCACTTTTGTCATTTCTGAAGTCAACACAGTAGGAAAATGCATCTCCAAGACAAGTATTATAAAGTGTGATAATAAATCCAATTTCACTCCAGTGATTTATTGATCACTGAATCATTCGCAACAAAAAGGATTTTTTAAAAAAAATCATTGTTAAAATTAATTAGCAGATTTATATCAATTTTCACCTTCAATTTAACGCCTCCCACCTACTTTTCTGAAAGGGTTTGACTTTTGTTTTGGTACCACTAAAGGTTAAGAGATGCCTCGGTGGCCCCTGCTGCATCCTGACAAAGGATAGACAGTGATCTAAGGAGCAAGCAACTTGTCTGTTCTCAGGGGACAGCTCCCCAGTATATCGGACAAAATAATTGAGAAAGTGACATTAACATTGCAGTTGGTCTCAATTTGATGTAATCATCAGCTTTATTTAGTACAGTGGTAATCAATCTTAGAAATTCACATATTTTTTAAAAAAGACATGGGATCTTAAATTCTAATTTATTTTAAATTTCTTAAAAAAGAATAAAATCACTAAAGGATAATACTACAGCAATTTATTTAAAATAAGACTTGCAACTTCCATGCCATCAGCGATTAAAATCTTTCCTTTTCAGTTCTCCATGTGCAGTGTTCTGGCTGTAGTATCTAGCAGTGAGTTTGAACCACAGACTTCATTGAGCACAAGTGAATAGAAACGAAACACGTCTAATAACTGGAAGCAGAAGGAAATGGTAATATGGACTTATGTTTCTACGGTGATCAAGCTACTTTATAAAGCTCTTTTATCATTATAATGTAAAAGATTGAATGTAATCAGCTAAATTACTGTAAAACCCTGAAATGTAATGTGTTGCTATCTACACCTACATTGGTATTATTCCCATTCTGCAGGTCATGGTTTCTCACTCATGGTCAGGTAAGATGGGAGCAGATTCTTTTCAATGTATTTAGGAACACAATATACTGTGCTGGAGTAGAAGCAATGTGGTTCCTTAATTAACATCCCCCATTGGCACCAAACATGGTGAGTTCTTGCCTTAGAGCACAACATGCTTTTTTTAAAAAAAAACACTTGCAAAGTAACATCTACGTTATCCAGATCTTCTTTGTGGTTCTTGCTGATGAGACGTTGTTGGTAGCAAGTATCCGCATTCTAGTTTTCCTGGTTTCTTCACTGGTTGGGACTGGGGGGAGGTTTATTGTGTTCATGTGGCTTAAAGTGAAATGCTGTATACTGTCCAGCGCCTTGGGACGTGAAAAGCGCTGTACAAATGTAATCTTGTTGTTGTTAAACTGACTTGTTTTCTAAAGCTTAGTCTGAGGTGTTGGGACTGAGGTGCCTTGAAGGTGTGGTAGTTACGTTTCTGTCCATCTGCAGAAAACAGAATAATAGCAATGATGTCCTTTCAATTGAAGTAAATTAAAAAAATAACATTATTATTAACTTCAGGGTTAGCAGGTTGACTGTGACACAATTTAAGTGATTTATCTGTGCAATAAATACCACAAATGTGATTTTCGTTTTGACTGGAAAAAAACTGCTTAAAAATTAAACCAATGGGTAGGGGTGAATAATTCACCCTGTGATTCATCTCCCCTCATGTGATGTCTGATGTGGTGAACTTGCCCTGTGGATAGTCAAATGGGGACAAATGGAATTCTAATATACTTGTATATTACTTTTATAAGAATGTAATTATTTTTATTTTTAAAAGCTAGTCTGATTTTTATTTAGGCAGCTACTACAATCAGTGTCCTCTACCATCTAGCATCCGTTTTATTTGCAAATCTTTCCTCTTGATTTTAAAGCTTGTGACTGAAACATTTCTTTCTGTCTTTAAATCATTTTAGTTCCTCCTTTACTGTGTTATATATTATTCTAGTACTATACTAGCCATCCCAGTTCAGAGTAGATAAATGGCTCTAATAGATATTTCCATACAGTCTGCTTTTGGTAGCCAGAAATTCACTCCCCCGCCCCCACCCCCCCCACCCCACACACACACACACATAAGATGGGTCGTGTATTATTAAGTCGGATAATGACTTAGGTGCAGATGCTCACTTTACTCTGCCTCATTGTGACTTTCTTACACTAACACTTGTGGTCTTTCTGGGTCGCACTGTGCAATACTGACAGTTACCTCCAGGCTGCTTTTGGTGATTGTACATTCCCCACAGATGTCTCTTTTATGGGTAGCTCGGATTGCTGCTTCAATATATGGATACTGGAGGGAGCTGTACGGTAATACGACGTGGAAGGTCAATCTCCCACATCTAGGAAAAAAAAGACATTGCAAGAACAAGATATAAGGCATAAATCAACAAGTATTTTTAATAAACCAACCCTCAAATTGGGCAAGGTGCTGAGAACTACTGGATCTCTATATCCTACCTTCGAGCCACGCTTCAGGAGTGATAGAGGATAATATGTACAATAGTTTGAGGCAATAATGATATCCAGCTTCTCCTGACTATTTTCTTAACAAACAGCCCAAATTTGGGAATAGTAGGCTAAAAATAGGAATGAAATATACAACATAAACAAAAGTAACTGGTAAGCGAATTTTAGGAATAGAGAGAAAATGGGGTGGGGGGGATGAGGAATTGTCAATTTTTCCTTTGTCTTTTATCCAGTGACACCAAAGAGAAAGTGTTTGTGTGTGGATTGGGTTTGGCTGTGATGCCCTTACTGTTGGCAAATATTAAATACATTTTTAGAACAACTAACCTGTCATAGATTAGGAAGTCATCCTTGCCACCCTGCAGGCTGTGCCAGACATCAGGCTGAATTGGTGATTGCTGATAGACAGAGACGTTGTTGGGAACATGCCGTTTGAGCTCCCAGAGCATAGCCCTAGATTCTGGTGCTTTCTCATTGACTATCATGTAGTGCACATCCTTCAGGCCTTGACGGGCGAGCTTGTCTTGCAAGCTGCCTAATCTGTAACAACACCAACAACTTGCATTTATATAGCTCCCTTCACGCGGACAGCGTCTCAGGTATTTAAAAGCAATAATAGGGACAAACTCAGTCCCCAAAATACGATACTATTTGGTAAAGATGTGCAGTAGTCCAGAACATTTAAGATTGGGTGTAATTCCTTTAAGCCACAAGTGGGTACTGACTGGATGCTTTTACGTTAATAAATAGTGATAGAATATGACTCAATATTTTGTTCCTTAAATCACCACAGAGTAAGGGCTGAGAACTGCTCTACTAAGGAAGGAAGGAAGGAAGGAAGGGATGGAAGAAAACATAGGGCAGAAGGAAACTTTTAGTAGTTTCTACCACCTGGTTATAATGTTTCACTGATAGAAGTTCAATTTTTTTATCATGCTAAATAAATGCAGTGTCAAACATCACCTGTGGAAAGATCAGGTCAGTGACCAACATAGGGCCTTTACTGAGCTACAAGTGCAGAAGTTTTGTATTGTGTCAGTGTGGTAATTTTGCACAGGATTTGCACAATTTTACACAGGACTCAAAATAAGGACGGGGGATGGTGGGGGGTAAAAAGACTCTTCACACTGACCTCCCAAAAAATAATGTACTATCAAATTGTTTAGATACACATTCTTGATTCCATGTTTAATGTACAGAAGCAAGAGGACCGTTCCCACTCTGGAAATCAACAAGCCAATAGTTTGTGTGCCATTTCCAATATAGTGAATTCTTGTTCTTAACTGTGCTTCTGTGGTGAGGAGCTGAAATAAAGACTAATTCATTTCCCCTTTGGAATGGAGGAAATACTCAAGAAGTCAATTACTCTAAATTACTCTGGTGTCATCCTGGTTGAATGGAATGAAATTGGTGGAGGAATTAGATACCTTCAGCTTAGCCTCTTGGCTGCAGAAGTTATACATTATATCAGAGCTTGAAACAAGTAATTACAAACAAGGTGGGCACTCACTTGGCCGCCTGCGTCAGACAGAACTGTCAGCTCGCTTTGAGAAGAGCTACTACAACCACGCTGCCCAGCTGCTGCTCCATCGGGTTCTGGTTAGCAATCTCCCAGAGAGGGGCTGCCTGGCAGATCCTGCTTTCCTGCTTCTCCCCCGACACAATCAGCACCAGCCCCAGAAGAACAGTGAGCAAGGGCACCCCCAGCTCCATCACAACTGCTTCCACAACCCTACAACACAACTTTTTAAAAACAATTAAAAAAAACAGCATTACATCAACAGCACAAAAAGGCCCAACAACACAGAAGGCAGATTTTTTTCTGCTGATGGTACAAAGCTGAGCCATAGTATTAAAACCCCAGTCCATATGGCTAGCCTGATCTGTGAACTCACTCCAGGGAATCAGTTCCAGTTTTTGTGCCCGAGTCCTGCTCTCAAACTCTTAAGACTGCCCCATCATACACTTGCAGGATCCTGGATCAATTTTCATAAGTGCACCAGGTAAATGGGTATTATCCTTTGATCTTTATTTGAAAGGTTTCAATTCTCTGGACTGAGGTTTAAAAACTATTGCAAAAATTACACAATAATTGTTAACCCTTCAATGAAGATGTCAACCGCAATTCAGCTTCTTGCACACCACCAATTCACAATAACAAGGCGTTAGTGCCTGCGAGTTTGGAAATAAGTGCCCATCTAGCTTCTCAACAACAACAATAAAATTACATTTGTAAAGTACCTTTCACGTCTGGAGGACGTCCCAAGGCACTGAACAATCAGGGATCAGGACCTGAGCATGGGGAGATGCGGGGGCAGGGTTGGGATGAGGGAGGGCAGAGAGGTAGGAAGGTGGCTGAAGGTATGGTATGTGGCACATGCCAGAAATGGACTGGAGAATGAAGAAAAAAGGGAACGAACTAAACATGGACTTGCAAGCCTCACTTAATTGTCAGTTCCGTCATTGAGTTGTGTAAAAAGAACATTTAATAATAATAATCCTTGCATTTGATATACACCTTAACATGTCATTGAGAGGTCTCCAAGTGCTTCACAGAATATAATATAAAGTGAATTCACTATATATTTTGTGGGTGAAATGGGTGAAACGCTATTCCAACCTATGAAATATCACAGTGATTGTTTCATTGGAAATAGCCGTTTTTTTAAAAAAAACATTTTTAGTTGCCAGAGTTCGTGTGGCAACCGAGCAAATAGAATAAACTTTGGTCTATTTGCTTTTTTTTTTCTCCTTTGCTTGTGCGATATGCAGCTCTGACCTCTTGCAGCAGTGGGAGTCACAATGGAAACCGAGGAAATCAGTACAAAGGCAGCTCTGACCAAACAACTGATCGATAATCGATCTCACTGTGAGATCGTGCAGGTTCCATTCGTGGTGAAAACACATCTAAGCAGAGAGGGGAACCGGTTTTAGGGAGAATGTTATTGTTCCAGTACTAACAATCGGGGCAGAGAAGGCGAAATCGCTGCAACAAAATACAAGCATTACTGTTTATGTAAAACCTACAAACCGCACGGTCGACAGGGGAACATTATCACAAACAATCTGGAGAAAGTTATTCGTGGAAAGCGCAGTCCCCACACGGTTTGGATAAAGCCTTTCTTTCACTGACTCAATGCCTGATACAAACCCACATTTAACTTTAGCCAGCAAATAAACCATCAGTAGGCACGACTTTACCTTGTCGCCAATTTCCCTTTAAAGCTGTGGGATTTTTTTTGGGTGTGCGATCCAAGTTCTAGCTCTCCAGCTCTCCAGCTCTCAGCCACAGACAGGAAGGCATCTCGGTCAGGACAAAGGCAATTTCACTTTCCTGTCCTATCAGAATGCATCCGACTGTTTAAATGCCTGACTTTACAATTAACCCCTTGAGGAGTGAATCCATTTTTACACCAATGTAAAACAGATGAGTTATTCCATTGCTGGTAATGTTATTTCCATTGCTCTTCAAGAAGCAATGATTAGAACTGTATCAGGAACTATCTGCATTGTTCAGTTGGTGATATAATCTTTGTTGAATTACATTTTTGGAGTTGGGAGTAACCCATTCGCCCAAAGTGTAAGCTTAGCCCCCTCCTACCTCTGACCTGCTAACCCTCTTACCGACCTGTCCACTGCCTCTGTTCAGCAGGCTCCGACCCGCTCCATATCTTCCGCCTGACCTACCTTACCATTGGGGGCTGGGCTTTCCACCTCTTTCAGCCTCTCTGCCCCCCACCCTGTGGAACTCCATCCCGCAATCACTTTGTCTTGTTCCCTCCCTTGTCTCTGTCAAGACATGACTCAAGCCCTTCTTTTTGACCGTGCCTTCAGCCACCCTCCTACCTCTCTGCCTTCCCTCATCTGAGCCCTGCCCCCCCCCCCCCCCCCACCACGCTTGGGTCCTGATCCCTGACTGTTCAGCTCCTTGGGACGTGAAAGACACTTTACAAATGTAATTTTGTTATTGTTGCCCTTCCCTACAAATAGGGAAGAGAAGTAGGAATAAAATCTTAGATGAGTCATCTCTTATCCCAGTCAGGCCACTCTAGTTCACCTAATAACTGCTCAAGGGCATCTCTAATAAACAATGGAGAAGTTATAGAGAGGGAGAGAGAAGTACAGAGTTCCTAAATTCATGATAAATTGTCGTATGCCTTGTCACTGTAATTTACAAATGATTCACATGTAATTTACCTTTCATACTGTCTCCACTTAAGTCTCCACAAACAGTTTCTCCTCCAGCCCCCACATCGTCTTGTGCAGTGTTCCTCAGGGCTCCATCCTTGGTCCTCTCCTCTTCAACATATACATGCTCCCTCATCATCCGCAGACTTTCTCTGCCTTCCCCACCTCCGCAACATTGCAACTTCAAGGCATATCTCTACCCTCCTCTTCGACCGCGCCATCAGCCACCCTCCTACCCTTACTCTCCCTGCCCTTTACCCCTCGTGATACCAATCCCCCCGCTCGGGTCCGAATCCGTCTGTCGAGTGCCTTGGTACGTCCTCCCGATGTGAAAGGCTCTATACAAATGTAATTTTTGTTGTTGTTGAATGATTCAAGTCAATAAAAAGGTACCAAGCAAAAAAACTAATGAATTTCAGCATCCTCTGTGGGAACATTATATATTCATAACGTTCACTCATATAGCATAGGCTGACACTCCACAGCAATGTTAGATGTACCATCTTTCAGATGAGTTGTTATACTGAGGCCCCATCTGCCTATTCAGGTGGACATTAAAGATCGCATAGTACTAATTGAAAAAGAAGGAAGTTTCTCCTGGTGTCTTGGTGATTAATCTCCCCCACCAAAATAAAATGATTCATTCATTTCATGGCTGTTTGTGGGATATTGCTGTGCACAAAATTGGCTGCTGCTTTCGCCCACAAAAATACCACTCCACTTTATAGCAAATCCTTTTGAGATATCTTGCCAACGTGAAAGACACAAATTCAGACAGAAGGATTATTTTTATTATTAACATTTGGGATTATGGTTCAAAGTTGAATAATTCTTCTAACATCACTGTTACGTTAGACAAATACCTAAGTAGGTTTGTGGAATATTGTGGAATAAGTGCAAATACATCTGAATCAGATTTAATTACCACAGCTCTCCTCCTCCACTTACCAGCACATCTCTTTTCACTACCTGACCCTTCAAAAATATTCTCAGTTGCACGTCCAAGTCGATGCTCATTTTAAAAAAAACTATATATACGGTATATAATTTTGGAGCAAAATCATTACTAGTTTTCAAAAGAGTTCAGTACATTTTCTCATTTCTAACCAGTTAACAGTCTGTGTGTGTCAATAGAAACATTTCTCGAAAGGGAATATTTACTTAGATTGAGTCATTCTGTGTATATTTTACCATGTTTGTTTTATGAGAATAATCAGATAAAAGCAGAGATCCAATGCTTACTGATTTATCTTTGTACTGTATAATATTTAGTTCAACCTAGAGTCCTTTAGCCCAGGCTATCTTTCAGTGTTACTCTTCCTGAGAAATGCATATGTGTTGTTGGGGTACCACTGGAAGATAACCTGCTAAAGCCACATATCTAACTATTACATGTATTGTCCGTCAAGATCCATGCTGCTTGCCCAGCAACAACGACTCTACCTCTTAAGAGCTTTGGTTTCACTTGGAACTCTTACACCTAACAAAGAGAAATGGTCATCCCATCAGATTGGGCTGGGTACAAAGTCAACTCCAGAGGTTTGAGTAGTCCAATGTACCACCCCTTTCCCCATCATTAGAATGCTCTACATAAGTTGTGCTTCACTTTGAAGAAGTTATGTACTTTCAATACAAATACAATACAAAATTACATTTGTATAAAGCATTTCACGTCGGGCGGACATCCCATGGTGCTGGATGGTCAGGGATTTGACTGTCCTATACAGGTAAATGGAACAAAGACCTCATGTTTAAAACGTTTTTGCATTCAAAGTGATTTCTCCTGCATTATAGAGACCTCAACATTTCAGTAACTATAAAAAACTGTACAAACTGGGGGATAAGATTCCACGAACCTCTATTCTGCCACATCATGGCCTCGCATATCGGTCTATCGGTCTAAGAGAACTGAATTAACCGCAATAGGTTTTAAGTTCATTAATCAACAACACTGTAAGTACAACTAGTTTTTTGCACATTAATTCAGTTCCATTGTGGTCCGTCACTTAATAGTCTGAAACCAGGTGCCAGCTTCATAAAAGTTAAATTCTATGTGACTTTTCACTCAGTACGATTACCTTTATAATCATCTACAGCCCTGTTCAGCAGCTCATAATCTGCTGATGGACCATCACCGGCCTCTTCTTCTATGTGAGCCAGAGGATTTGAATGCTTTTGCTTCTTCCTCCTGTTCTTTGTTCCCCAGGTCTGGTCCTGCTCCCCCTCCTCAGGCTTCTCCAGCCTAACAGTGGAGTTTCCAGTTTTAATGAAGGACAAAACATGAACCCATCCTTCTCTCGTGCTGACCAGTGTCAGGGGGTTCCCAGTGTCGCTGAGTGTCCGCGTCTCAAATGGAGTTCAGCGCTTGGAAGCCCCACACACTGTGTGGAAAGGGCCTTATATGAAGGCAAGTCACTGCTGCTGACGACGATGATGGTGATGACGGTGATGAAGTTGGCCTCAGCTTCTCCCTCCCAAGCTTGACCCTCGGGACACGACCGCGGGAATCGCCTCACCTTCAAAACCAAACCGCCCATCACGAGACGCGCTTTCGAAACCGTTGCCTCAAGTCGTCGCCCGGACTCTTTTTTTTAAAATTTTTTATTTTTAATGAATCAATTCATTCATTCATTAATTAAATAATCAACATCTATTGGAGCTGTGAAAAAAAAACCGACATATCTTTAAGAACAACCTCTGGGGGGGGGGGGAGTGGGGGTGATGGGGGGGGGAGTCCTCCCACCAGGAGGAACGACGCTTGATCGACAGCCCCGGCGCTTCTCCTTTACCAAGATGGCGGCCGCGCGGCCTCGTGGCCGGTCTCGGCCCACGGCCTGCCCTTACTTCCGGCCGGTGGGTGTGGGAACCGGAAGCCGGTGCCTGCTGTAAACATGGCGCCGAGCGGCTCGGATACGGAACAAGGTTGTGGTGGAAACCAATAAATTACAAACCGGTGGCCTCGCACCGCGCGCGTCAGACGGAGCCCCCCCCCCCCCCGCTCGCCCGCCGGGCCCGCCCCAGCTCGTGACCGGGGAGGACAGGCCGAGGCCGAGGGTGGGAGACGGGGCGGTGGGGAGAGGAAGCCGCTGATGGGAGAGCGGCGGTGAAGCGGCAGCCGGTCAGGATGGACGTGGAGGAGGAGCACATGACGACGCTGCTGTGTATGGGCTTCTCGGAGCCCGCCACCATCCGCAAGGCGCTCCGCATGGCCAAGAACGACATCAACGAGGCCGTGGCCCTGCTCACCAACGAGAGCCCGGGCCTGGGCTACGAGCCCATCGAGAGCGGAGACCGGCTGGGCGGCGGCGGCGGCTCTACCAGCGGCGGCGGCGGAGGCGGTGGCGGCGGCGGCGGAGGAGGAGGAGGAGGAACCGGGGGTGGGACCGGCTCCCGCGGAGGCGGAGGGGACTATAGCCGGAGCGGGTTCGACCCGCCGCCCGCCTACGATGAGGTGGTGGAGGTGGAGGTAAGGGATGGGATGGGATGGGTCCCCTTTGACGGGAGGTTTGACCGCCCCGCGCTTTCCCCTTCACTCCCCCTCCCCCTCCCCACCCCACTCGCTGCAGTGATGATACACCCCTTTAAGGAAAAGGTTGACCAGAGCTTTCAGGGCTGGACTCGTTTCTCACGGATTCGGGATGTGATCCGACATGGGGTGGGGGTGTGTGTGGGGGGTGGTGTGGTGTGGGGGGTGGGGTGGGGGTTGGGGGGGGAACATGGATTCGAGTCTTCTCTGGGTCCAGTTTTTGATGGACTCGAGCTGTCATGTGTCAAGGAAATGTGTGACCGGTTGGGGTGTCAGTTGCACGGCAGCCCCCCCCCCCCCCCCGTGTGTGTGTGTGTGTCTTCGCTGAGCAAATAGGCGAGACACGTTTCACATCGGGTGACATGTACCGATCACCCCCCCCCCCCCCCCCGCGCACGTTGATGGTTTTTTTTTCCAGTGTCCCTTTTTCACGACCGTCTTGAAAGACCCCGTTGTAGGTGCTTCCATTTTGGGGTATCATCAATTAATCAGTCAGTCCTCTTCAAAGGATTGGGGTGGAAGTGCAGAAGCCCTTACATCCCCCCTCCCCCCCCCCCCTTCCCCCCACCCGCCTCTCCCTCCATTTCTTGTTTCTGTCGTTTACAGTGTGTGCAATGATGTCTTAATTGTCAGTTCGGCTCTCTTGTGGCGTGTAAACTTACTGCTGTGGTCCTCCACTGTCGTCGGTACTTTCAGTTGAATGCTATAATTGTCATCTTCAGTCATTCCGTTGCCCTTTACTCATTTGTAAGTTAAGAGGCAATGGTTTAAAGACTTAAAAACTCCAGTTGGATTTCGTGTGTATTTAGACTTTTGCCCAAAACACTCATTAAAACATGCTAATTTTGCACCGGATGGACTGAATTGCTACACCAGGGACTAATGCTATATTTTATTTGCTGTGAAGACCTTGGCTGCCGTGAATATTTCAGATGCACGATAGGGAAATTGTCGCCCACCTACTGCTCTTCAACTTGCCAGTTGTAATTTTAGTTAGTGGTATATGACATTTTATTTTTAAAACCTTTTTTTTAAGCATTATGCTCTTGAAGTCCTAATTAGTAGGTAAAGGTATCAGATTGATAACTCACTAGTTAAGTGTCAGCCTGGCTCACTTGGAAGCACTTTCGCCTCGTGAGACAGAAAGTTGTGAATTCAATACCGACATTTGGATTTTAATCCAGACTGATTCTCCTAATGCAGTGCTGAGGATGTGCTGCATAATCTGGATATTGGCCTCCAGAGGAGATGTCATCTTGTTTAGGTGGATGCTGAAGGATCCCATGATAAAGAAAAGAGAAAGGAGTGACTTGGTGTTTATCTTAACAATGCCCTGCATAAAATGGTCACTCAAGGCTGTTTGTGGGGCATTGTTGTGTGCAAATTGGCTGTTGTGTTTACTTACAAAATAGAGTCACTCCACAGATAATATTTGTGAAGCACTTTGAGATGTAATAAGGTGCTATATAAATGCAAGTTCAAAACATTAATAAGGGAGAAGAACAGCTTGTTCATGCTATTTTGTTCTGTATAATGTGTGTAAAATAAGATTCCTATAATAGCTCAGTTTCTTACTTTACCAACTCAGCAGGGGAGCTCAAAGATTGATCCCTGGACTTTGAGTTAGGTGATCTCAGCCAAGACTGGCTATAATAATAAATAATATTCCTTGCATTTGATATAGCACCTTATCGCCTTTGATACCACCTTATCAAGCACTTTAAGTGCTCTGAGACGCTACTGTGCCTGGAGTGCGCTATATAAGTGCACGTTGTGTCTTCAAGAAGTCTCAAAGCGATTCACAGAATATACTGTAAAGTGAATTGACTTTATTGGTTCAGACTAGACAATGATTTTAATCTTTCTGAATTCCTTCCCCTTTTACTATCTATACATACACATGAAGATTGACAGTTTGTGTAAGGTACCAAAGCACAACCAGCATCTGTGGAACTGTACTACAGTAGACCTTTAAGAGAGGAGAAACCAAATACGTACTGAAAAATCACAGAATAGAACAGATTCTATTGCTGTTGCTCTTTAGTAATCATGAGTTTAATTTATTTTGAGGAGGGGAAAATTGATGGGTACATTATTTAGGCTACTCTTGCACATGTGATAGTGATGTGCTAAATAGCAGCATTGGTGCAGTTGCAGCCATTCTCGCAACGAGCATTATACTCCTTGCTGGTACACCATTCACAAGCTGCAACTCATCCAAATCTCCACCGCCCACATCCTCATTTACACCAAACTCTGCGCACCCATCACCTCAGACCTCAACTGGCTCCTGGATTCCCAGCAAATCTATTTCAGTGTCCTTGCCTGCAAATCCATCCACTCACTCCCTGACACTCTGTGACCCTACTCCTCCACTTAGCTAACAGGCTGGACTGATTTTCTCGTTGCAGTGCTGGGGTGTGCTGCATAATCAGATATGCCTCACACCCTCAGCACTGCATATTGAGAGCATCAGTCTAGCTTCCTGCATGCTCGCCAACGTCTCCGCGCCACCATTGGTAGCCGAGTTCCTAACCTCTGGAACTCTCTCGCTTTACCATACTGTCTCCCTCCCCAAAAGTGGAGTCAAAAAAAAGTTGAGCCAGTTTCTATAACTATGCAAACTGTTATTTGTGGAGTTGGTAGTTTTTTTGAAATTCAGAGGTTTCAGTTTAATTCTCTCAAATTTTCTATGTTGAAACTGGCATTTTTACAACATTAAGTAAGAAATGAGATCCGGGGTAAGACATTCAGGTAGTACAGAGGGAAGTGGTGCATGATTTTGGCTCTGATGGAAAAAGTTGCATTTTTTAGTGTAAAAGTACCTCATTCTTCTTGAAAATAAAATTCACCTTTTAATATACAATATTCCCCCAAGACTGAGGTGCATAATTGGAATTTACTTGAGCACTTTGGATTACATTATAAAAGGTATTAAGCCTGTTTTTATTGCTATAATGGCTACAGTGCACTAAACTCAGATAGGCAGTCTATACCAGTCTGAGCATGGAGTGAGGACGAATTCACTGATTTCTTTGAGAAAAGCAGGTAGATTTCAGAATGTATGGTCAAGACTTGTAGCGTGTACTCCTGGTAACCTGTGGGCTAAAGATGTGATATAAATAGAGTGTTACACTACACACACAAGACAAACAAAATGCTAATAACATATTAGAAATATGATAAGGGCTTGAAAAGAAGCTATGAAGGCTGGGAATTGTAGTATGTTTCTACTGTAATGCATATTTCTTGATCTTGGTGACTCCCTATGAAGTATTAAAATGCATCTCTGCCTTCAATAACTGTTGTATATTTCAAAATGAGATTCCTTCTTAAGGAAGGCATGTCCGTTCAGTACTGGAATTTGCCAGAATCAAGCTTAGGTGAGAAACTGCACAGCACTCCACACTACTTCAGTATGCATACCTAGACCTCAAATGTACTCCTCGCTGGTCTTCCCAACTCCACTATTCAAAAGATCCAGCTCATTCAGAACTCTGCTGCCCGCATACTTACCCGGAGCAAACTCCGTACCCACATCTCACCAGTTCTGGCCCAGGCTCCATTGGCTCCCCATCACCGAACAGATCAACTTCAAGATCCTCACACTCGTGTTTAAATCTCTTCACTCTGGTACCTCCCTACCTCTCCGACCTCCTCACTCCCTAATCCACCACACGGTGCATCCGCTCGACTGACACCGGCCTCCTGCTCGTCACTCGCACCTCCACCCCACCGTCAGAGGCCACTATGCCCTGAAGCTATGGAACACTCTCCCTCAATCCCGCCGCCTTGCCCCACCTTTCCCCTTTTTGAAGTCCCGCTTAAAAACCTTCCTCTTCAGCGGTGCTTACAACCACTCCCCACACCCCCCCCCCCACCCCGGCTCAGAATCAGGCTCTGCACTGTTAAGCACTCTGCGACGTTATCCTGCGTGGAGGGTGCTATATAAGGACAAGTTGTTGTTGTAAATCTTAAACTCCCAGCTTGATTATTCAACAGTTTAGAATTTTTAAGTGCTTTAATTAAATTTTCTTTTGGTTTAACCACTAATATTTTGACACTGGTCCTCAGCTCCTTTGCACTGTGGTGCTAGCTGAAAGTCTTCAACTCTCTCAAATTGGCTCACAGGATAATTTCTTCGAGGGATAATTCTCTCGGTGCCATCGGCACTATATTTCGTAATCATTAAAAGATTGACTCCACCTTCCCCCTTCATTCCAGTGGTGGTTGATTCATGCTGGATATTATTGGTTCTTTGGGTGCTACCTGGAGTATCTCGCCTCAGTGGGACATGTGTGAGAATTCGCAGCCTATTTGTCTGTGGGAGGAATACCTCAAGGCATCATCCAGGCCTTGCCAGTATCCACACAAGTGCACTTTCCAACAGGACTCACCGAACAGCTTCAGGAGTGGTAATCATTGGCTGTTTTACTTTTCCCCTAGCACCTTCTTGCACTAAGGGCTTTTGATGCCAATCGTGACTCCCTTACTGTTACCTTGGTTGAAGTTAGTCAATTCAACGTATACTGTACTGGATCACTATTGGTCTCGGGCACTGACTTTCAAATGTTTTTGGCAGATCACGCAACGTTAACAATGGCTAAAGTGATAGTCAGAATACCAGCTGAAACTGAATGATATTAAGGATTTGTTATCAAATGGGCAAGGCCTTGGAGGATTATTGAACAAATCTTGGTTTCTGCATTGGTCCTCAACAGCTGCATATTCATACATTGATTGTATATTAAGTTAACCTCCTATTGATTGAAATGCTTTTCTTCTATCAAGAACATGAATGTATGACAGATTTAACACACATTCTCAACTTGTGTTGGAACTGAATATAACAACTGACGGACTGCATTCTGAATTTTTATGTGTGATCATGTGGATGGCACAAGACACAAGAACTGATGTGCAAATTTTGTTTGCTCAGT